ACACCGCGCCAGGCGTGAACCTACGGTCAGGCCGGACTAACGCACAATTGTAAATGAAAGGAAGTAGGAACGACGTGAGGACTCAGCGTCCGTCATCTGGCCTATATGGTGGAAATCTGGGCCCTGCTTCTGGGGCTATTTTTCGACCCAGAATCTGTGGAATCTGCTCGTTTCTTTGCGCACCCTTGGCCACAAGCAGACACTGGCGCGACTGCACCCCCAGAGATTCACCGGCGTGGATTGCAATGTGAAGCATCGGATTCCAAGGTCCGACCTATGGGCTACTGATATGGGCCCTTAGCCTGGAGGAGACGACACAAATCTTCCAATTCGGTGCCCGTGCTCTGGACCCAATGTCGCTTGAGGAGAAAACCTTGGTTCCAAGATTGCGCCCTTGCTTGTTGCAATCTATTGCCATCGATTGGGCAGCATGAGGAAAGGGCCACCGAATTTTGGGCCCTGGCCTTCAAAAATGCACCGGACCATACTTTGCATTATACCCAAGCCGCCGTACGGAGTGGACTTCAGCATCTTGTCGTGTCACGGACCAAATCAGTCCACCCACCGCGATTCGCCCAAGCCGAGCATGTCCATTGCTTCTCCCACCTTCCACGAGTTCTTGCCCTTACCGCGTGGAGTGGCCAGACCGGGGTCGCAGCTTGGGTCCAAGGTTCGAGGGTTCCCACTCTCGAAAGGTCCTGCGGTGCACTTGAGATGTGCTCATATGGATTCTTGGGCGGGGTGCTTAGTGGCTTAGTGTTCTGGATCCCTCTGGGGCAGGGGGTTTTCACCCATTGACAAGGCTCACGAGGACGGCGGAGTGCGGCACGGTCTTCAGCCAGCCTGGCGCGATGACCGGATGTGCTGGAATCATTTGGAAGGCACCGCGGGATCACTGCGGCTCTGCTGCCAGGCCAACCTCTTGCGTCCTTTCAAGCCTGTATGCTGTTGCGTGCGATGCGCCTTTGGTGCCATCTGCTATCCGAGTATATAGGCCGCTAGACCGTGGTAGGCCTACACAAAGACAGAGCCATGGAGTTCCAAAAGTCCAGAATGTAAAGTCCCTGAACTCTTACAAGCCGCAGCGCCTCAAGTGCCCAAGTCCCTCTGCAGCAACGCAGGCGCCGGAGCGGTGGTGTCTTTTCCTTGCTTTCAGACCGACCTTTGCTGCTTTCAATCAGGGGGGGCTCCGATGTTAGGACTGTTAGGTCCCAGCTTCACGCAGGATGATTCCATGGTCGCAGTTCTTGTCAATCCCAGGCGTGTTGCAGATCTAAACTCCCTGGCCCCCTGAAAGTCGCCCGAAAAGCCATCCCAAACTCCCGCTAGGGCCAAGACCCCCCCCCAAGCTCCGCATGGCGTGAAGGCGGCTGCTTTTTGTAGCCATGGTTTGCTCTTGTGCTTGCTGTGGGCTGGAGGAGGTGGTGAGCGTACTCCTGCATACTGGCCGCAGAGCCAGAGGTTGAAGCGCACTTCGCACGGCCTTGCTTTCGAAGAAGTTGATGTGAAGCGGCACTTTCCATCGCTGCGGAGGAGCCGGAGGAGGCGCAGAATCTGTGGAATCTGCTCTTTTCTTCGCGCAGCCTTGGCCACAAGCCCAGCTTGTGTGACATGTAGGACGGAGCATGCAGGGCACACTAGGGGATCTGCTATATACAGGCGTCTGCGCGCCTTCAAGTCTTTAGAGCGTCGCGCAGCCTTGGCCACAAGGCGGCTTCAAGCGCAGTCAATCTATTGACTCACCGGCATCGATTGCAATGTGAAGCTTGGGCCGTTGGGGCCATTGTGACATGGGCTCGGGCACCTTGCCTGCGTGCCGGGTCACGTCTGCCACGCTGTGCCGGATCCGCGCCTGTGATGGAGCCGATAGGGCTTTCCTGGCCGCCGCGCGCAGCTTGTGCGACATGTAGGACGGAGCATGCAGGGATATACGGGCGTCTGCGCGCCTTCAAGTCTTTGGAGCGTGGCTGCCAGTGCTGGAGAAGACTACCCGGCATCACGGCAGGTGTCAGACAGAAGCAAGGGTGAAGAGCGCACGTAGCTCTTGTGGCTACTGTGATCTGTTGTGCACCTACGGCCTACGGAGCATATGTGATATACGTGAGCATCGTGGTGGTGTTATGTGTTTCCTCATGCCTGATAGCGCAGTGTAGCTGCATGCGGTGAAGACAATGACATGCCTTCCCGACCTTGTGCCTCGTCATCCATGCTCGTGCGCGAGATTCGCTGCCCTGTTGAGCGGTTAACGCTGGAGTGATGCCACCGCGACCTTCTAGGGTCAGCACCGGTAGCTGCAGATAGGTCGCGAGAGCCCGAAACTCAGATGAAGAGTACAATAAGGCGGCTTCAAGCGCAGGCCTTCCGGAGATTCGGCCAGCATCGGCTGCAGCTTAAAGCGCCGGATGGCCTGGCCAACCGCAGCTCCTCCAGCGTGCGGCTTGCACATGCTTGCCCCACGAGATGTGCCCACCTGTTACTCGGTTTCCCGGTTTCCCGCATTCCCGGGCCAGGTCACGCCGCATCTCGGAGCAGGTGCCAGGGAGTGCCTTGTGCAATTACGGGGAGGTGCCCGAGGGCGGCATGACACCCGTGGCGTGGAGCTGTCTGTTCATGCTCGCGGACGGCGAGGTGTAGCTGCTTTGTAGCTGTGGCAGTGGTTGCAACCAATCAAGAAATTTGACCTCAGACCCCCCTAATTACTGCGGCCAAGTTCAGGATGCAGGGATGAGGCGGCGGCTGCACTTTCGAGCAACTTCGCTGATCCTAGAAATATCCCCCTGAGGGGCACTGTCCGTCTGTCCAACTTCCGGCGTGGTTCTGGACCTACAGTACGTGACAGCCTAGAGGGGGCTGTTCCGAGATTGTGATGTGCCTGTCGTGCATGCGCTGTGTGTTGGTCCAGCAGCCCTGAGGGCCGGGACAGTGGTTTACTTTCCTCCAAACGTGTAGCCGTGTAGCTCTGCGCGAATAGGTCCAGACCTCGGTCTCAAGGCGGACAGGCATGCCGCAGGCATTCGGTTGTGACATAGGGTCGGGCAGCTTGCCCGCGTGCCGGGTCACGTCTGCCACGCTGTGTCGGATCCGCGCCTGTGATGGAGCCGATAGGGCTTTCCTGGCCGCCGCGCGCAGCTTGTGTGACATGTAGGACGGAGCATGCAGGGATATACATGCATCTGCGCGCCTTAAGTTTCAAGTCTTTAGAGCGTGGCTGCCAATGCTGGAGAAGACTACCCGGCATCGCGGCAGGTGTCAGCCATAGACCAGCACGGGTGAAGAGCGCACGTAGTTCTTGTGGCTATTGTGATCTGTTGTGCACCTACGGCCTACGGAGCATATGTGAGCATTGTGGAGGTGTGAAGTGTTTGCTCATGCTTGATAGCGCAGTGTAGCTGCATGCGGTGAAGACAATGACATGCCTTCCCCTACCTTGTGCATCGTCATCCATACTCGTGTGCGAGCTCGCTGCCCTGTTGAGCGATTAACGCTGGAGTGATGCGACCACGACCTTCTAGGGTCAGCACCGGCAGCCGCAGATAGGTCGCGAGAGCCCGAAACTCAGATGAAGAGTGCACGTGGCGAGAGCGTCCGGCGTACCGACGCAGGAAGTGGTGAAGCTATCTCAGCGTGGATCTGCTTCTTCTTACTTATGCTGAAAGCGAAGTCGAGCGCGTCTGGCGGTGTGCGCATAGCATGGAGCGGCTGTCGTTGTTTCCTTGCACTTGTCCGCAGAAGATTCGCTGCCGCAGCAGCTACCGGCGCACTGCAAGCTTGCCAGATGGCACGTTTGCCAGTGGGGGCAATGCATGCAACTGCAAAGGAGCAAGCGATGCGGATATGTCGGCGTGAACCAAGGGGCACTTGCTCACATCGTCACCTGCCTTTTTGGCAGCTTCACCGGCCGAGGTGCAGCGCAGCACCGGCAGCCCAACTAAGATGACTCACTTAGAGGATATGTGGGATCCACGTTGCCGCCTTTCTAGTTGCAGAAGAGTCCGGCAGACTGCCGGGACTGCTGAGTTCGATTGGATATTCCGTCATCTATGCCCCTGTGATGGCGCACTGTGCATTCATTCCAACCAAATTTCGAGCCGGCCTCAAGGCTACACTTGTCTACATTCACTCGATCCTCAGGAATGGTATGGGTGAAGGAACTTCTTCGGACCATCGGAGCACTGCAACAGTTGCCAGTGCGCAGACTGTCTGTGGCATCGCCATCGCCCTTGACTTGGCAGCAGGATACCTTCCGCCAACAGCCTGTCCTCTTCAATGTCGCTGGGAGGCATTCACGCACAAAATCAGGGCAAAAACTGGCTTAAAGGGGCAAATGACACAACTGCACGGGCGCGTGCGCGTACAGGCCCCTCCCACACGGGCATGTTGAGGCTAAAGAGTGCCAACGGGACCAGCTATATTTGCAGCTGCACGCAGTGCCCGCCCCACAGACAACTGCGTCACCTTGCCAGGATAACCGCTGAACCAGCGACTCTTCTGCTGGCCAAGGCGCAGCGTGCGACGCACTTGCTTTCTAGGGAAACATCGCCAGTTGCCAGTCTTGGGCGGCATCGCCTGCTTCTTTGCATCTTTCGTGAGCTGCGGGCCAAATTGCAATGTGGTTACCTGAGACGGCCCCCTGCGCGGTGTGGCGCAGCGGTGGGAATTTGTGGCAATCTACCACTAAGCCACCATGCCCAACTTGGCAGATCCCTGTGACGAGAGGGAGTTCCTCCCCACTTCACCTGAGGCCAAAGCACATGCTTCAGCAGCTGGCAGCCCGTGCCTCACAGTGCCTCGCTCCTGGCTTTGTTTCTACGGAAAGGGGCTTGGACTCCTCGTAGCCGGGCCTGGTGCCCAACGTCCAGTGACATGACACGCCGACCGCGACTGATGCGACTGCATATGACCGCGCCTTCCAAGGTGAGCCTGACGCGTGGGGCGTGGCAGCGTGACGCAGCCAAGTCACGCAATCGGCCTGCAGTGGGGGCCAGTCCGGTTCTTGCTGCTTAACGCCAAGCGGGCTTCGTGGCCCAACCAGAAGTCGTACCCCTTTCTTCCTGCAGGCTCTGACTCAGGAGACGGATGTCTCTTTGCAATCGGATGCTGCTTCTCGTGGTGCTGGGTGCTAGTGGTTCTGCCGCCCACACATGCGCCATGGTTGGCCCTCCCAAAGTCAGCGACGGCCCTGCCGGGACCTTGTGCAGCAACATCAGCAACTCGCAGCCGTGATGTTCCGGGCCGGTCGGCTGGATTGTGACAAAGGTGTGTTTGCTGCTAGCGGTTCTGCCGCCCACGCATGTGCCCTGGTTGGCCCTCCCAAAAACCAACGGCCATGCCGGGACCTTGTGCGGCAACATCAGCAACTCGCAGCCGTGATGTTCTGGGCCGGCCGGCCGGATTGTGATGAAGGTGTGTTTGCTGCTAGCGGTTCTGCCGCCCACGCAGGTGCCCTGGCTGGCCCTCCCAAAGTCAGCGACGGTCATGCCGGGACCTTGTGACTGTGCGGCAACATCAGCAACTCGAATCCATGATGTTCCCGGCCGGCCTGCCGGATTGTGATAAAGGTGGCAGACGGCAGGCGGTTTCTGGCCATGACACACTGTCGTGCTGCTGGCCGGAGTGCCTCGAGGACACACCCTTGCATGCGGCTCAACACTTCATTCAGGGCAATGTGGCAGGCTCCATCAGGCTCCGGGCCCCCAAGTGCGAGATGTATGTTTGCTTGAAGCAAAGATGTGTTTGTGACAACCCCGCTCGGCACGGAGGTCTTAAAGACGGCGTGGCAATATACCTCTGCGAGATGGGTCTGTGACATGTCGTTTCACAGCCACGCGCAGGAGCCTCTTGTTTATGCAACGCCGCTGAGCTTGCATCAGGACCGATTTATGCCTGCGCTGGCATCCAGCTGCCCTTGGCCGGCAGTGCTAAACGGCAACACTTGCCACGGAAAAAGAAAAGAAGTGTTCGTGCCCTGAACTTGGGTCAGTCCACAAGATACTAGTAGCCGTACTGAGGGGTCCCTTGTTTGGCGGTCTTGGGCCCCACCTTAGACATGCTCAGAATGGTCGGTCGATGTGTGAAGATCCCAAACAATAAGTTCGCGCAGAAGCGGCATGTCTCTGTACCAGAGAAGTCGAACAATCCTTGATCCAATGAGACCATTGCCAAACGTATTTCGGGCGACGAAAACCTGGGAAAGAGAGCTGAATGCATTTAGCCTCGGCTCTAGCAGCTAGCATGTCGGCCCCTAGCAGTAGCATTGGCTCCCATCCGGTGCTTTCCTGTGGCGGAGGCTCGGCACTCGGGGGCAGCAGCTGCTCCGACTCACGAGACATGTCTTGTGGAATTCAATATGTCCACACTGGCAGCGAAATTCGCAGCTTCTGATACAAGCGGGTAGGTTAAGTCGTATCCTTTGGTGCAAAGTCGTATCTCGGGCGCGTGCACACTGGGGATTCACGAGTCCAAGATTGGTCAGAACCCACTTGCACCCCCAAGCAGAAATCTCTTCACGCTGACAAAAATGTGCTCCCCTCCCAGGCGTGCGGTGACAAGTGCGCATTTTGCATGTGTGTCGAGGGCATGCGCGTGCGGCGCGTGCACATTGGGGGAAAGGCTTCAACATATGTCTCTGTGATACGACTTTACGCGGGCTGATGAAACTTCGCTCGCAGGCGCGTGTCACTGGGGAGATGTGACTTCACACGCGAAGATGTGGGTTAACCTACCCGCTTGTAGCAATCGTATACAGCCCTGAGCATGTCATTGTGGGTCGTCATTTGAAATTTTTGACATTTTTCGTTTCCCTGAACAAGGAGTCTGAATTAGTATTGTTGTGCCGGAAGCAAGACTGGCCCGTTGTAGGCCAAGAACCAATCTGAACCAGGCCATTCAGATTAACGATACAGATAAACAACAATTGAGGCGGGCTGTAGCCAACAAGAAACAGGGTTTGGGCGCAAGGCTCATTTTTTTGCGTTTAACTGAGGAGAACAAGAAGAGCATGAAGCAACAACATTAACAACAGAACAACAAGAGCAAGAACAAGAAGAACAATAGTATTCGCAAGAATAACAACAATGTCGACGACGACGACGACGACGACGACGACCACAGCAGATGGAATAATTTCAGATGATTTCGTAATACCTAGTCCAGCCATATCAGGTGGTAATTCCAACCAAGAAATGTTGATAGATACATCAGTGTGGTGCATGACTTTCCAGTATAGTATCGTATATATATATATATATACATACATACCAATGCAGAACGACGACGACGACAAGAAGAACGACAAGAAGAAGAACGACAAGAAGAAGAACGACAAGAAGAAGAACGACAAGAAGAACGACAAGAAGAACGACAAGAAGAACGACAAGAAGAACGACAAGAAGAACGACAAGAAGAACGACAAGAAGAACGACAAGAAGCACGGCAAGAAGCACGGCAAGAAGCACGGCAAGAACATGTCAAGACGAATGACAAGACTAAGGACAAGGACAACGGCAGGACGAGCGACAAGAAGCACGGCAAGAAGAATGACAAGACGAACAACACAACCACAACACCAACCACAACACCAACCACAACACCAACCACAACACCAACCACAACACCAACCACAACACCAACCACAACACCAACCACAACACACAACCACAACAACCACAACACCAACCACAACACCAACCACAACACCAACCACGACACAACCACAACACCAACCGCGACACACAACCACGACACACAACCACGACACACAACACAACCACATAAGAACCACGCAAGAACCACACAAGAACCACTCAAGAACCACACAACTACCTCACAACTACCACACAACAACCTCACAACAACTAGGTCGTGACCTCGTAGCGGATCGCGTGTTTTTCTTAGTCGTGAGAGGTCGAAAACACTGTTTATAGTACAATGCTACACGTGTGAGACAGCTTGACAGTCTGATCGCCGGAGGCAGCCATGTGCTTCAGCCGATCCTGATGGCGAGGCTGGGATTACACTTCGCTTCAGAAGGCAGCCTTGGGCGCTTTCAAGGTGAAGCCAAGCAGAGCGGCGAGATCTGGAAGATTTTTCAGGCTAGTTCGCGTTCACGTAGAGGCACGCGAAATTGGATTTGGCTACCGAGCCTGAGCTTGAGGGTGACCGAGCCGCAACATCGGGTTCTGCCCCGGCGCTCAACGCCCCTCGACATCTCCAAAAGCCGGCAGGATCACAGCGAGAGTGCGTTGGGACGAGGTTTGGGCCCGCGAAGTGGCCATTGATGGCTCCACTTCGGAGTGGTGAGTTGTTGCAACTCTCTGGCCATGCCAGCTTGAGGAGCTTGCCGACGGCCTTCCCTGGCCCCCGCAGGCACCAGGATCCCAACAGGCCAGGATGTGCAGCCTGACGGTGCCTAAGTCATAGGCTTTCTTGCAGATCGGAAGGAGACGTCAGCAGTCTCCAGCGCAGCGCGTGTGATGGCCTCCCATGCATACACGTGTAACTGACGTCAGCCACTTTTGTAAATGGAGGGAGGCAGGGTCGCGCGTCCTGACGTGCCAATATCCGGCTCTATTTTTGAGTTTGTCTAGTCTCGTGGCGATGGCAGGACCTTCCACGAATGAAAATCCACTTTCCTTGCTCGCCTGTGTGTCCTGACATTGGTCAACCATGTGAGATGCAATTGCCTCGACGAAGACATACATCCGGAAGAGATTCTAACGCAGGAACTTCTTCTGACGCGTGCTGTATCGCGGACAAAAAATCCAGGGGTTTCTTCTCCACGATCTTCACTTTGAAGCCTGTTTGTTGTTCGATAATGCTTTCACTCGAGGCACAAAACTTCTGCATGTCTGCAGTCCATGCTCTCGATATTCTAAGGCCATCGAAATGCAAGGACAGGTGTGCCGGCTTTGGATCCACGACGAGGACGTGCTCTGACCAGCACTGAAGAATTCGATCTTCCACCGCGTGCCACAACAAAGAAAAAATTGTAGCCGAAGGAAAATTCTTGCCTTTCTGATCCTTCAAGCTCATGTAGTCCTCGTGAAGAATGTTACAGGCAACCGAGCGCAAGCATAATGAAATTCTCTGCAGCTTCCTGACATGCTCATCTTCTTTTAGATCTTCTGGTGGCGTTCCACCATTCAGAATAGCGTTCAGCACATCTTTTCCTTTTGATCGAGATAACTGCAGCCTCTGAATGAAGTCATCGCGCCTGTGAGCAAGTTCCTCAAGAACCTCGCCCAGATCTTTCGGTAAAGCTGGCTCCGGCTTCATCTTCTCCAGCAACTGGTACGTAAGCGAGAAGCAGCAGTTTTGTATGTCTAAATCTGCAGAGTGTGTCTCTAGAACATGCATCTGGAGTCTGCGGGACATAGCCGGAGTTGCGGAGTCTCCTAGCAGTTTCCAATCCCCCTGGTCCTAACACGATGGGGATCAACTGACCCTTGGGAAGCGCGGCCACATTGTCCCGTGCAGTCTGACAGTGCAAGATAGAAGCGGCCACCAGCCAAAACGCGTCCGACCATGGCACCCATTGCAAAGCAAGAGCTTCAGCCTCGCCCTTATCATCGGCAAGCGCGGCCAAACAGTTATTAAAATCACACCCCGCCAAGTCAGCCAGGTTGAGGGCTTATACGCTTCGGAGGTCACGCAAAGTCTTCTCGGACTGGTTGACGCCGTTCAGTGAGTTATGAATCACACCCCGCCAAGTCAGCCAGGTTGTGGTTGACGCCGTTCAGTGATGTGACGGGGCGCGCAATGAGAGATGATGGCGACACCAAGTGGGTGCGCGCTACTCTCTCCGTTGCTCACGGGTCGTAAGCTTGGGGATGCAGAGCCAATGAAAAGTCACTTGTGTGAGCTTCTTAAAGACTCCTCGGCCTGGCGAAGTCGCCCGCCCCGCGGTGGTACGATGTTGCCGCCTGGGACCTTCCGGTAGCCGTGCAGGTACGGGTAGACGTTGATCACCTCCGCCGTGTCGGGGACCTGGTAGTGCACTCCAGACCACACCGTGCCGCACCTCGTGCAGTCCTGGAACCCGCCATGGGCGTTCCCGGTTCTCCGCGCCAGGTCCATGGGATGGTTCCTTCAATGTTGCTGTCCGCTCATGTTGGGATGGTGCTACTGGGCCAAGGGTGGAATCCATCATGCTCTTTCAATTAATTTACATTCAAAACCTAATGATCAAAAGCTTCAGCCTCGCCCTTATCGGCAAGCGCGGCCAAACGTGAATCACACCCCGCCATGACTTGGCCAAATTGAGGGCTTTTACGCGGAGGTCACGCACAGTCTTCTCGGGCGGGGTGCTTAGTGACTTAGTGTTCTGGATCCCTCTGGGGCAGGGGGTTCCCATTGACAAGGCTCACGAGGACGGCGGAGTGCGGCACGGTCTTCAGCCTGGCGCGATGACCGGATGTGCTGGAATCATTTGGAACATTTTGGAAGGCACCGTGGAATCACTGCGGCTCTGCTGCCATGC